CCACAGAAAAAAAACGAAGACTTGTAGGGAGAAATTAAACCTGTTTCTCCCCCCCCCACCCCACCACACCACAGCAGGGATGAGAGGCTCTTGTCTTTTAGAGTTCCCTTCAGTTTTCTTCTTTCAAAGCAGAAAAGGTTCAGTGAGCGCCTTTCGTAAAAAAGAAAAGGCGCAGATGACAGCAACTGCCTAGCAAACCAATGTTCTTCCTCGTCTGCCGATGTGTACAGGAAGTGTCTCAGTCTCCCTCCTGCAGCAGGATGACAAACTGTCAGAGCGAGTTCTTTTTTTTTTTTTAAAGAAAACGCAACTGCCTCCATTTTCCGATTACCTCCTCCTCCTGCGTATCATTGAATCACTAACGCTAAGCCAAACAAGAAAGACAGGCAAGCTGTGGGTGTCCTATAGTATTTACATACTGAGTAAGAAGAAACTTGCCATTCATAATAGCAACAAATCCACAGGGGTCAAGAAAACGTCCATCTTCTTTTGTAGCAGAAGCACCAGTATGATATGGGTAAAAATCACTCCACCCATTAATACTGGTGATCACCAGATTTTCTCCTATGAAAGTCATGGGCTTGTAGTGCGTGAGGCCAGCAGTGAAACACTGGGACACAGGCTGTGTGCCAGGTGGCAGATGCTCTCTTGCAGCCTTGTGAGATTTTGCCCAGACAAGCATGGGCCTGTTCACTGGTTTCTGAGCCCTAGATGCCACACGTCATCCCACAACATGGAGATGTTCTGTTCTGGAGAGCAGAAGATCGTCTTGCCATTCTCTTCACACAAGAAAGAGGTGGCTACAGCAACAGGGTGCGGGCATGCAGTGCAGTGCTTATGTCTACATGACCACTGGAATGGGGGAAAGCACAGGTCTCAGGACTCAAGCAATGGAGGGTTATCCTCAGTCACTGCTGGTGGAGACACTGCTGCCCAGACCATCACACTGAAACCCCCCATATCAATCAGGCTTTTCCATTCAACAACTAGAGCATCAATATGTACCAAACTCACCTACATTCATCAGCACAGTCTGTGCAAACCCTGATTCATCATGAAAGAGGGGACTTGGCTCCACTACTGGGAAGGCCATCAGGATGGGTTTTTTTTTTTTGTACCAGGTCTGACATTCAACAGGTTGCCTCATTGCCTGTACCCTCTCAGCTGAATGCATATACAACAATCAAAGTTACATGAATAACTCATCGGAAGGATTCCAAAAAACCTTTAAATAAAAGATTCCAATCTTGGGTATTGATTTTCCTAAAAACATGCACGCAAAAATTCAGATGAGATTACTTTTAAAATTACATGCATGAATAGCTTACATCTAATCTGTTGTTTTTCCCCCTGTTATTTACTCAGATAAAACATTCTTCGATATCGTTTTAACAATTAAGTGAAAAGGGCAAACTTGTCATTAGTTACAGATATATGTAAGCAGCTTCTGCGCTGAAATGTTAGTGGGCCCATTTCATTTTCTTCCATTTTGGTGTACCATACCCAAGTCTATGTTTTCCGTTAAAATATTTTTTCCTTTTCAGTTTCATGGGCCAGGCTGGCATGGTAGCACTGCAGTTAGCATTCCCGCCTCAGAGCACTGGGGCCCTGGGTTCAATTCCGGACCTGGGGTGCTGTCTGTGTGGAGTTTGTATGTTTTCCCTGAGCTCATCCGAGTTTCCTCCGGGTGCTCAGGTTTCCTTCCACAATCCAAAGACATACTGGTTGGTTAATGGACTTCTGGGATAACTGGACCTGGTGGGTCTGTCTCCTGTGATGGACTGGTGCCCTGTCTTGCACCTGTTGCTTACTGGGATGGGCTCCAACACCCCCCTGACCCTGAATTGGATGAAGGGGTTAGAAAAATGACAGACTTTCATGGGCAAGGAGGATAGCCAAAAGAGCCCCAGGGCACTCTACGAAAAATCCAGTGTAACAGTTTATGGTACATAAGAGTGGAAATGTGGTAACAATTAACATAAAAAAGGCTGCAAGGTTCAGAAAGAGCAATTGCAGAACCCAGTGCATTATCTGAAATATTTGCAAAACCTAGCAAGGGGATTTGGTGGAAGTTTCACTTTAAGATATTACACACACACAGCTCCTTTAAGGAAGTGGTTAAAGTGTGACTTTTGCAGCATTTTCCTGAGTGGGGCACGCTTCTTACAAAGAGAACACAGAGGTCAAAATAAAACTTATTTTATCTGCTACAAACTTAAACTTATCTGCTACAAAGGGGGTACTAAATCACCTTAAAAGTGGGGGCTTCTATTAAATATCAATTATTTCAGACAACTGAAAATGCACGTACACACTCTGGAAATATTGTAGTTGTTTGAAGGGAAAGAAAGTTTGGAGAGAAGAAGGAGGCCATCTGGCTTATGTTAAGTTAATCGCTGGCATATAATTGATCTAATGATCTCATCTAGCCTTTTACTGAAAGGAGCAATTGCTATTGACTTCAGCAACATAACTGGCTCTTGTGCCAGACCTCCACAACCCTTTGTGTAAATCAACATCCCCACAGTTTCCATCTGAATCCCCTTGTCCATGTTTCTTTACCGATTCTTAAGAAGTCAACTGGGTTGACATTGTCAATGCCTTTGTGGATTGTGAGTACTTGAACCAGATACTCGCATCGTTTTCTCTGTTTGGAAAATCTTTTAGCCTTTTACGAAAAGGATGTGACTTTGAAGCTGGTTTCTTGTCTTGGTATGCTTTGCAGAGCCATAATATTCTCATATTGCAATTAAATGTACTGTGCATCATATTCTAATTATGATTTTACATCCCTTGATTTAAAAATTGTGTTATAACTACATCCTAAACCTGTTTGCCTTTTTTTATTGCTTCGCTAATCACATAAACTTGGGCAAATAGGTATCCAAGTCTTTGGCAATCCCTTTTTTCAAGCTGAATGTTCCCCATTTTAGATTTACATGTCATAGTTTTATTTGCAACTAACAATCTACCTGTCACCTAGCTAGAACAAATGTCATTCATGCAATATTCATCTCTATTATACATTTAATTTGCTGATTCTTGAGTCTGCAGATCCATCTACAAACCGGACTAAAACCCATTACAAACCGGACTAATTTGCAGACTACGACAGAACATACATCATTGCTATAAACAAGGAAGAGCAGTGGTCTTAATACAGATGAATACCTACCACCTGCAATTTTAGAATAGAGGACTTCTAAAAATGAAAATGAAAAACCATCTAAAAAATAAGCATAACAACTTCTGTTTGTCTGCATTACCACTGTTGCTTGTTGGGGTCCTTCGATGTTAGTTAAGCATGATCTGCCTTTTCTAAAAGCATTCTAGCTATCTCTCAAAATCCTATTGCTATACAGATTACCCACTAAGTTAAGTTCAAATTGTTTTCATTATTTCATATACTGGTTATATTGTCCATAAATTGGGTTTTATTACCATTTTCATTGCTATATTTGCAATTGTCTAGACAACTAATACCATCATAGTCTTGAAGGACTTGAAGGAATGTCAAGTGCTTCTTAAGTGCTTTAAGTGCCTGTAATATGTCTGCCTCCTCTATGTCTAAGCTATTCAATTTAGATTGCACCTTGAGGCATATATATTCCTTGGTGAATACCTGTGTGAAATATTACGTTAATACAATCATTTCCCTTTCATTACCTAAAGGTTTTCTCTATTTATCTCAGACACTATCTTTAACTGTTCTTTTGCTGTTGCAGTACAGAAAACATTTTAGCCTCTTAGCCTTCTGAATATTCCTCGGTAACTGGAATAAATTTCCATACCTGGGTACCATTTTGTTTTAATGATTTTATCAGAGGTGTTTCCTGTCTAGTTGATTAACTGATTCAATAAACCATTTGGGCTACTGCTTTCCAGCCTTTCCATGCTCTTGAGGCCAATCTTTTCTGCATTTCCATTCCCACCCAAGATCCCTGATCTATACCTTGTTTCATTCTCCTCAAGACCTGTCTCATTCCTTCTTAGTCTGCTAATACCGCAATTCCTCCATGCCTCAGTATTTGTTGGGATTTCAGTAATGGGGGGGCGGGGGGGGGGGAAATCACACCCAAGATCAGATTTTTTGGGGAAAAAAAACACTTCACTTCTTCCATTCGGTTAAAATGGACGTGAATGACAAGACTGTAAAAAAAAATGTAAGGGGTCATTCCTGTGCAGCTACTGCCCGCCCATATTAAGCATTTTCATCCATTGGGAACTATTGCTCTTTTTCTCAACTCAGTTCATGACATTAAGCCCCAAATCACCACCACATACAGACAGGATTCCTCCACAAAGAGCACTACTCACTCTGTCAGTTCCACAGCACCTACTACAGAAACAGAACACGCTAGAGGAATGATTCAGCTCTCCTTAAGGAAACCAAAGGCACTTCAACTGTGAAGTAAGTTTCAGGGATGGCTGCAGGGCAGCAAGGCAGAGAGTGCCCTGTCTCCAATTTAAGTCAGACAACACACCAGATATGCTCGCTCAAAGACATACACCCATTGGGGAAGTCCTGGTCACAACAAGCTACTGCAAGAGCCTAGACTAGAAAAAAAGCCTGCGACACAGGCCTTCCTACGCTCCAAACAAAAGCTTTGACTGGTGGAGAGAGCCACTTGAGAGCTTCTGCCTGGTTTTCAACAGACATGGTCATAAAACTCCTGGCAGCAGAAACTCATCAGCTCATTGATTTCTTTTAGAGCTCTCCAGCATCCCGTTATAGTCTACTGGTAATCAATTCCACATAAAAGAAAAGAAACAACACATCTAAAATAATGAGACTGGATTGTTTCGTTGTACTTCATGTGGCCTATTCAGAGTTTCGGCATCAAAGGCTTTTGGAGCTACCTGTTGAAACTGGGCTCTACAATGGACTGCCACAGAACAAAAAAGCAAAGATGAACTGAAACTGAATTGGGTCTTATTAGTTAACACCGGCATTCAGCTTTCGAGTTAAGGTTTTCTGCTCAGCCAAGACAACGACTCACCACTGAGAGACTGATAGAGATCAGAGAGCAGTTGGCGCACTGGGAGGGACTGGAATCTTGGGTATTTCACATTCAGTGGCTGCAGCGCCTCCAGAAAATGGCGGAGCTTGATGTCAACCAAGTGCTGAGAGGGGCAGGCTGGCTCTGAAATGCAAACACCAACAAAAGTGTCATCAGCAGTCATGAAACGCCCACATTTATCAGAAAAGGACCTGGAGGAAAACAAAAAAATGGGGCTCAGGGAAAATAAAGCACACCTACTCAAATCCGTGACTCAAACTGCAGACAAACAACTTCATATCAATATTTTGAACTATAGTTTCCCACTGGTTATGCCATCATCTGAGTTTTTGTGAAATTGGCCCTGGTGTCCACAGTGCTTAAGACAAGTGGTTGCTATTCCGAGGAATGGGGTTCAAATTCCCATCTGAGTGCTTTCATCCGAGTTATGATGAGAACTGGTTCCTATAAAATTGGCCCTGGTGTGAGTGTGCGCGTGTTTGTGTCTGTGTGTCCCCTGCAACGGACTGGCATACTATCCAGGGTGTTCCCTGCCATGCACCTGTGGCATGCTGGGATATGGTCCAGCTCCTATATTGGATAATGAGATACAGTATATGGGATGTGGGGATTGTCCTGGCCAGGAAAGGCTATCACAGCACTCATCACATCAGCCAGATGTTACCTGGCCACCAAGAGCGTATTCATTGGAACAGATAACTGGGAATGGGCCACTGTATTCTCCAACAGAGAAACTAAAGAAATGAATCTGTTGGGAAGCCATCTGGGGCAAGAAAGGTTCCAGCCTTTCTGTTTAATTAATTCTTTTCATCTTTGCCAATTAACACCATCACCACTTGACCACCTCAGAGTTCCAAGGAAGGATGCGATTGGACCAGGATAATTTTAACACAGGGAACCTGCACAATTCTGGTGCAGCTCTTCATCTTCCAAATCAAGGGGTTAGCAAGCAACCTTTCTAGAGCAGGTATTTCTCACTTTGTACCTAAAGAGCCCCAGCTCGGATAATCTTGCTGGACACCCTAAAGTTTAAGTAGTTTAGTAGTTCGTTTAAGTAGTTTAGAGAATAAGAATAATGAGTTCAGTTTTGTTCGCCACACTACAAGAAAGATATAACCGTTTGAGAGACGGCAGAATGTAGTGCAACTAGATTACATTATTTCCAGCATGTAGGAGGATGATATTTTTGCACAGACAAATTAATACCAGAGAACTGAATCCTTTTAGTGCAGAACAGATTTTGCATGTACATGGTTCAGTTTTCATAATTCTGAGACAGGCTGGGTTTAAAAACTTCAAAATATGAAACAAATTAAGAGCTCGAAGACAAGTGGAAACTATTCAGATGGGAAACAAGAGCACGTCTTTACACAGCATGTTGAAGGAGTCTGCAATGAATGAGGTTGAAATGACGACAGCAATCCGAATAGCCCGGTCTCCCGTCACCGCTTACGTTCAGGCGCCCTCTAGTGGTTTTATTTTTTCCTGAAAATGTACAGTGTACTGCGTTATACTGTAGATACAGGGTGCATTAAAACCCGATATATTAAAACTAACAAATTTAAGAGATCTCTGCTTCATAGTTTCTACACTCGAAAACCTATCTTACCCTGAAACTGATGGCCAGTTTCCTTTAGGTTTCCTTACACCAGTGGTTCTCAAACTTTTTGGACCAAGTACCACCCCTAATCCAACCAAGTACCACCTACAAGTCATCATCTCATAGGAACCCCAGAAATTCTCAATGACCAACATGAGCGCTTGTGCACACACTCTCACACATACATATAATAAATATTATAATAATAAACTTTATTTGATATAGCGCCTTTAAAGGTGGCTTCTCAAAGTGTTTTACAGAAAAAAAAACATTAACAACACCTAATAAAAAAGCACCATTCCAGTGAGAGGGGTGAGCCTGTTAAGTTGAGCAAAGCAAATGTGAATTAATTTTTCGAGCCTTGATACAATTAACAACCGAGTCTAACAGATATTAAATCGTCAGGCATTTTCTTGACGGCAAAGTTCTCGCGGTGGATGTTGAAATGCGTACATTAATTTCTGGAGCAAACTATTTCGTGCAACTACACCGCTGTGTCGGCTTGTCATTGCTCTAGCACCGTCTGTACAAACTCAGACGCATTTTATCTAGTCGATGCCATTCTCTTCGATAAATTCATTCAGAAGCTGAAATATGTGCTCTCGTGTAGTTCCTGTTGGTAGCGGTTTACAGAACAAAAAGTCTTCATGGCACATGCCCTCAAACTCGTATCTAACGTAAACGAGCAAATTGGCCAAATCGACTACAGACTCATCTAATTGCAGTGAAAAACATCTGCTCATCTTAACGCGCTCTATCAGTGTACTTTTGATATAATCCTTCATTTCAATAATTCTATGAATGACTGTGTCTTTCAGGGGGAGGGGGCAGCAGGTCGAGCTGTTTAGCAGCTTTTTCTCTACACATAATACGTGTCTGCTCTTTTGCCAACGGTAAATAAGGTTCTTCAAAAATAGTGTAGCTTACCTGCTTTAGCAATACGCAAGCTTGCATTTTTCCGCGTTTCCGTTTTTATTTCCGTATTTAAAGTTTTTATTTCATGCGCATGGGAGCGAAACACAGAGACGCTCGGTGTATTTTTCTCAAATTAGAACAGTTCTTAAATATTTTTCTGTTATCACGCTTTCGTGTGCTAAGAAGATTACCTGCGTTCGTAGCACGTATTCTATGCATTCCTGTTTAGAACGTTGGCATAGTTCGAAAATCATGCACATTCTCCTTTCTCCCTATTTGCTGGAGATACAGTAGCTTTTTTTAAATACAATTGGTCACTTGCATCCGTAGCATGCATTCCTATAGAGTGGTATAGAATTACAGAGTATTAGCGCGAACTGTATCGTAGTACGTACTGTAGGCTGCGTATTCGACACATATTAAAATACAAAATATGAAAACCCGTCCCGATTTTTCAGCGCGCACGACACAGTTCCAGGGTCATTTGGCGTACCACTTGGCGGCACTCCACGTACCACTGCCGGTACGCGTACCATAGTTTGAGAACCACTGCCTTACACCATAAAAAAACAAAATCACGGTTAAAAATAATATACTGAGATTAGATTCATAATACTGTAACGCTCTGGGGTTCACGTGGGTTTGCGCCCTCGCCGCTGCCGCCTGAGGTAGGCCCCCAACCATCGGGAACTCGAACCTGGGCCTCCAGCGTCACTCAACAGGGACCCAGCCACTTGAGCTAAAGGGAGATCTCTCTTCAGCCTGGAGGCTGCGGCCCCTGCTATTCACAGGGAAGGCCGGTGACGTCACCACGCTGGTAAGCCGGCTCTCACAACCTGCAATGGTGGCCGTATGCATTACAACACGCTTAATTATCACTAAATCAACAGGTAATTAATATTACTCCGTAAAAAGAGTCAAACGACGGACTATACTGCAGATCTACAATGTCACACCTACTGTACGTCTACAGTGCCGTGAGAAGCAGGTTAATTGTTTCAGAGCAATCAAGTCCTGGGAACATAAATGTCCAAAATGCTAAATCCCAAAGTGTGACTAGAATTTAGCGATCATTTGCCAAGAGGTAAATGCTCATAAACCGCAGGACAAATTCCTAAATGAATTCTTTCAACAGACCATCATTCCAACTGAGTTTAAAGACGCTTTATCAAGTGCTGCAGTTTTACATGTCAATCTCTAAGGTACGATTAGATTACAGAAATAAATTACATTCCTTAAAAATCAAGCATTCATTCTCACCCGTTTAAATTTCTCATTTGTCTCACATTTTCTATGAATGTCAATTAGTCGTCTTAAGCACAAATGCCTTCATTGTTTTACAAAACGACAATAGCTACACTAATACGTTTTTCAACACGGATTTTTACAGTTTGGCAAAGAGAATGCTGCATTGCCACAAACTGTCACATTTAATTTAACTACCTGCTTGAGTAGACATTTGGAAGACATTTCTGCTCTCAGACATTTCAAAAACACTCATCTGCTGAAAACAAATGGAAGGGAATCTTGTTCAATCTTTAACTTGCTTGCTTACTGCTTTCTTATTTCTGGCAGCAAATAAATGATGAACGCAGACGGTAATAACTATCAAATACTCCTAATGACTTACAATCCACACAACCAAAGAGTTTGAGAGTTGACATGAAACCAAGGTTTTTTTCTGGGTTGATACAAATGTGAACCATCCAAATGTGTAATTTCTTAATGTCAGTTAAGAACAAAGGTCTAGAGATCAGTTTCATTGATGGGGCTCGGGTGACACATCACTGGTAGACACAGAGGTCCTTCAGTAATAAGGTTGAGCGCCACTGGTTTCCAGCACAGCTGTGATGCACGAGTTCAGTCCAGGAGGACTACAGCATCTCCAGGTTTTCATTTCACCTCTGCTCTTAATGACCTGATCATTTTTCATAAGACATCATCTGTTGGAGGTCTGGAGAGACGTAGAATACCTGCTGGTCCTCACGTACTGGAGTTCCTATACAGTACAGTGTTTAAATCAGGGGTTCCCAATCGCTGGTTATAGGGGTCCAGAACCCCACAGGTTTTCCATATCACATGTGAATGGGATCTATTGATGATCTAACTGGATTAATTTTGCTCACTGGCATCAGGCATTGCTTTAAAGGCCTGATGAATTCTGGATTCTTGGACTTAGTGATGGGAACTGCTGTTTTAGATCAATTCAGTAGTCAATAATAATAATAATTCCTGACATTTCACTCAGAAGAAGACTCATTTCTTCCACCTCTGAATTGTAGTAGCAAGCTTTGCAACACATTTTTCACCAGTCGCCCCACTACAGAACAGATCAGAAGAAGAAAAGAGATTTTGACAGTTGAATTCAGGGGAAACTCTTGGGAAGCCTGATTATACAAGACTATAGCAGAATCTAGCGCAAAAACTAGTGTTATCACGCTACTCTTAAAAGCTGAGCCATGGGATCTTTAATGTTAAGCTGAGATCCCAATGAGTTGGACAACTCATTCAAAGGATGGCACCTCCTAGACCACAGTATCTCTGGTCCCCATACTACAGTAAGTGGAACATTGGTTTGAAAAGCCTCAGCCAGAAAGAGGAGCACCACCTACTGGTCCACCTACTTGACTTACAACAGCAACCAATTTTTTCTTAATGGTTTTTTATCCCAGCACAAAATGGGCCCAATATTATCAAGGACAACTCAACAGTCTTTAAAACACACCTCAATTTTGAAAGGATTTTTTTTAGGTTTGGATACCACAGTTTCCAGGTCTTTATGATGATAAATTACTTCTATAACCTAATGGTCTGCAGTTGTCTCAGGCCAGGAACGAATTTCCCTGCCAAATACTGTACCTATCACCTACCTATCACCTACCCAGTATTTGTACTCAAATTTCCAACATGATGTCACAAATACCGAACTTAAAATACAAAATGGGTGTAAGTTTTACATTCCATTCGTTTGTCTGGGTGTCGTCTTTTCAATTAGGAAGTTTGCAGTTTGCCCCGGTAAAATAAAATGGGCGTTATTCATTGAATTATCCCTGGCTGTACCTTCTCCTAAGGCCACGACAATTCTGACATAAATCGGTTGGATTCCACATAGTGTTGCTCGCGACCAACAAAACCACATGAAACAGACACGCTTTCACAGTGTAAACCATTAAACGGACAATTGTACAGTATCTACAGTAGTCCACAGACATAATTTGCTTATAACTCATTAACAAATGTACTGTATTCGCCGAGGCTATCATTACCCACGTTTTATACAATTTAAAAGCACAACTGCCAAAGTTCAAGTGACAGTACTACTGTAACCATTTAAAGAGAAATCTTACCGTCACTAAGCACAAACAGCTGGCGGAGCTCCTGGAGACTGCAGACTACGGCTCTCAGTTTGGATACAATCCACGACAGGTCGTGGTTTAACGAAGTTGGGTCCCGGGCCAGAAAGCGCAGAGTCTCCATCATTTGGCTCTCGTCTCTCACCCAGTAGTTAGAGCCCGCACCGAAGGCCGGACGAGATGCCCCATTCCCGGGGTCGTCGAGATCCTCCATGTTCCCCGAATTTCTTTCAGAAAGAGGTGGTCCTTTTTCGAAGGACATCTGCGATTTCTTTAAAACGCAAAACAATCTTGGCACATCGCTAGAAGCTGCTCAAAATTTCGACTTAGACTCATATTCATAAACACGCGAAGACAAATTGTTCTAATATTAATCCTAACGCCTGCAGCGGTTTAAAGCACAACCTCGCCAGAGAAATCCCCCAAGCTGTCCGGTTACAACAAACCCTTTAAAACAGTCACGCCTTCTAAAATTTATAGACGATTTGGTTCTTGCATGGTAATTAAAAACAATAACAAAGCGTTTTAAGACTAATGTTCTACCATGATAAAGCTGATTTAAATGGTTGCCCCATTACATCAGGTCTGACATATAATACTCTAAAATGGATTGCGTTATACAAAACTCCTCAATAAATTAGACTTGTTTGCGCGCCTCTATCTTGTAGTGCCTCTGCTAGTTAACGAGTAGCAACATGTGCTGGCTAATTACTTTACACAAAGTAATGATTTGTTGTTTTCGGGGGGGGGGATATTGTTTCCTGTGATTATCACAAGTAAAAAAAGTGTTTCCGTAACTGAGTAAGCAGAGAGCGAGCTACGGATCACGTAAAACTCGGCAGAACTGGAGCATAACTTGGTGAACCGCATTCCTGTACGACATTCCTGGCGTGCTCGCAATAGATAAGGTGTAAAGATTCCAACAGCAGAGCAGAACTCTGATAAGAGACTTCGCCCACGATGACGCCACTTTCATTCAAACAACGGCCCGCGGTCTGGCCAATTTGAGTCATTATAACCCCCGGACATTAAGTGGTTGCCATGGTTAGCTGATTACAGTCTTGGTGAGAAAATTAAGGTCAAGATTACTTGTTAGACGTTAGCAAGGCTTTCGTTCTATCCGGCCGCTCGCTGGCCTTTGTTGCCAGCAGTACTTCAATAGTCAAGTGATTAGTGAATTGTCTGAGATACCCTGTCCCAGTTTTTTTTTATTCCACCTGACCTCAATTTTAATTAAATTGAATCAACCCACGCCAAAATCGGGCATATCAGTACACGTTTTAATAGATATATCTTACATTCAGTCATTTTCTAACCACTTTTTCCAATTTACGGTTGCAGGGCAGCTGGACCCTATCCCGGCAAGCAACGGGCGCAAGGCCATCGCAGGGCACACAGACTCACACACACACACACACCAAGGCGAATTCTCCCAGAAGCCACCATTATTCACCAATTTCTGAATGCTTTAATAATGTAACAGTGATCACTTTAATAGGTGACCTGTTAAATTACAGTAATTTAGAAATGCTTTATTACATGTTAATGTCATATTTCTAATCTTTACAAACGGTCACTTCTTACAGAGGTGCCTGGCTGTGGAGACTGCACACTTGTTGGGTTTCATTCCAGCTCATCGTAATTACTTGATTGTAGGCTTAATTGAACTAACATTTTGATTGATTGAATGATGTGTAAGCATTTTTACTTCTCATTCAATGCATTTTCTAACTGCTTTTTCCAATTCAGGGCACAATGGGCGCCAAGCAGGGTTCACCCTGAACACGACACCAGTCCATCGTAGGGCTCACACAGGAAAGCACATTCATGCCTAAAGCCAGTTTTCCTGGATGCCAGGATATCAGCCTGTCATTGGACTATGGGAGGAAACCCAGGCGAATAAGAGGAGACCATACAAACTCCACGCAGACAGCACCCCAGGTCCCGAAGTGACCTCAGGGCTCTGGCGCTGCCTCAGCAGTTCTAACCACTGCATTACCATGTCGCCTGTCACAGCAATCACAAACCTTAAATTCCGAGGTAGACTGTCTAGGAATCTCAACTATCCCAGTACTGCAAAAAGCCGGATATGAGCGTCGCACCTCTTAATCGCCTAATGACAAACGATGTAGAGCAACTGCTGGGCATTTTTTTTTGCTAAATGTCTCCGCCCAGTGGACATTTTGCATTCAGCAGGCAAGTGTTTTCCTTGAATCTTGATCAAAAGGTCTTTCAACAGGGACACATTATTGCATATCATTTCAATATTCATATACAAATTGCTTATAGCTATCAAATTAATAAGCTCTCTAAAAAGCAAGAAGCCATATTTTGATGGTGTCTGGATTAATGGCCTTTGCATTAAACACAAGAAAGACACTGTTAAAAGTGCCATAAGGCTTGTAGTATATTTGTACATTTTGTCGATGATTAATTTAATATTTTGATTAAAGCACAATTGATTATATGAACACAGATGAAAACGTCTCTTTGGTATCTATATATTCTATGAGGCATTAAAAACACAACAAATGCTATTGGTTGCAGTACTAATTTAATATTGTGTGTTTAAGGCTTCACAGTATATCTATATCTATACACACAAATTCATTTTGATGACAACAATTTCCTTATTAATTTACAGAAGACATTATAAAACAAGAGGAAACAGATCCACTAATTGTACATAATTGTATTCTAACATAAGAAAACAAACATTTTGTATTAGAAAGAAAACTAATTGTGTAATTGACCTCTGTGTCAAATTAAGGCTAAAAAAGAAACTGGGAATTCTATATTTTCTTTGGAATTATGGGAAAGTTAAAATACATGTAGCAATCTATTCAGTAATTTATAATTCGGCATACTGAGAAGCTACACCCCTAGCCAGATTATACACAATAAGAAGAGCAAAACAAAAATTGTTTGCACAGACAAATATGTACACACAACCTCAGTCATTCTGTGGACAAAAATGCAATATGAAATGACATAATGGAAAAATATGCAAAAATACATATTCATGAAGCAGTTATGGAATAATCCAATTGCAGTTCCACACAGAGAATATATATTTATAATTTGGATCATAATATTGATTTTTTTCACTTGTATGATTATCCTTCTAGACAGATTATATGCAGTCCTCCATCTGTTAAAATAAGGTAACCTGTGAGTTTATGAAATGATAAGCAATAAGTACATCTGAAAACATTGTAGTGCTAATCCCCAAAGAGATGTCCTGTTCTTCAAAGAAAAGTGCTGTTCTCCAAAGAGAAGTGCTATACCCCAAAGAGATGTTCTGTTCCTCAAAGAGATGTGCTATTCATAGAGATGTGCTGTTTCTCAAAGAGACATCCCATGTTCCTAAAAGAGACCTCCCATTCCTCAAAGTGAAGTGCTATTCCCCAAAGAAACGCCCTGTTCTTCAAAGCAGACACAGGAATGGTTTGGTCTGCTTTTTCAGGAAGTACAGAACCTGACTGCAGGTCCTGTTGCATCTTTCCTCTTATACACATGTCCAGTCAGCCTCTCAGAATGTTAGCTCCTGTTTAAAAAGCACTGTGAGCTAGCAGGGCATTCAGTAGAAAATGTTACATAGTGGTCTGCTTCTTGAACAGATCTTAGTCTTACCGGAGTTTGAATTTAATCAAGGTGTTGATTAAAGATAACCAACCTGTAATTTGCAAATTGCCCAGAACATGATGGCAAGCTTCCATTGGGTAGGGGCAATAAGCCTGGAGGAAGTAAAAAAAAACCCTTATCAAGTATTTTTTCTTAATAATATGTTATCACTTCCAGTTAGTTCATCCAGGCCTAGAAAGGACCATTACAGAGATCTTTACACTACAACTACCTTTCAGCGAGAGCCAGTGCTGATTGGCTGCTTGATTCAGACCAAGCCCCTCCCCCTTCAACCCCATGGATCCTGCCCCTCCCCCTCGCCATTCTGTGACCCCTCCCCCTCCTTTGAGTCCTCCTCCTCCTCCTTCTTCTTCTTCTTCTTCTCCAGCTTGTATTTCAGGCGGCGCAGGGGGTCTGTGGCGCTGCGCATACGCATGTCGTCAAAGTCTTCGGCCATCATGAAGCTGCGATCGATGAGCTCGGCCGCTTCCTGCCAGTTCTTGAAGCAGTCTGGCCCGAGCCGGCTGATTTCGTCCACCGCGTTGGGGGAGATCATGGTACAATCTGGTCGCAGCACCACCACCGTAGGAATCTCCGCCACCTCGAACATAAGCGCCAGCTCCCTGTGCCACAGGGGGGAGAGAAGGAGAATTAAAAAGAGTTTTTTAGCCCTCACGGTCTCTGAGTGTGCAGGCTCATGATGAAATGCAAAGAGTGTTTGACTTTCTTTATCAAATGGATTAATACCTGAATAACACGGGCTTCAGAGAAGGAAGGAATGAAATCTGAAATCAACAAACCACCTCACTAATGTCCTTTTAACTTTATAAGCTTGTCCACACCATTAATACCTGCACTCTGACCCCAAGCTTCTCTCCCTGTTTGTGTGTCTCATGGAGAGCAAG